GGGGTTGGGGCTGGATGATCTCTAAGCTCCTTTCCAACCCCTAAAATTCTGACTCTAGGGCAACACTCACCATGTCCAAGGTCTGTCCCTATCATCCTCCTTATCCTTAGTGAAAAGGTGTCACTGCTGGAGGTTTCCAGCGGTGAAAATCAGCAGAGAAATATTAGGCTTGGGAAAACTACCAAAAAATTGAGAGTATATTTGTATATAAAACAGCCACAGAAGCTTCTCTTTGCTTTTATTCCACGTTTGAAATCACTTGCAGGAGTGTCAGTTTTATTACTAATTACACACTTGCTTTATTGCCACTGGTATAAAACCAAAACTGAAGCTTGAAAAAAAAAAGGTCAGGAGAGGCTTAATTCAAGGTAAAAAACCTGGGATGAAGTATTTATTCTTCACTGTTTATTTTTGCCTTGTTTCCTTTTGAAATTAGAATTTTCTAATCGGATTTCTAAGCTCGTTTTTCCCAGCAGGGGGGAATAAAAATGCTGTATATGCTGGGGAAATAGCAATTTCCTCAAGGGATGTGATGATTTGTACCTGGAAATGTCCATGTGTAGGTTGGAAAGGGCTTGGTGTGGCTCATCCCATGAATGAGCAGGTGTGAAATTCTTTCTAATTCTTTGGAAGTTGAATTTTTTTGGGGGGAGGGGGTTTGCTGATTATATTTTTTTGTGCTACACTCAGTTATTTTTTGTTCTAAGCAAGAGCAAGTGTGTCAGATGGTTGCATGGGAATAAATGTGGATTTAGAGTGGGAAAAGGGCAGGAAAACAGGTCTAGAGAGGAGATACTATGGGGTTGCTAAGGAGATGCTCAGAGGATTCTCAGGATGCTTGAGGGTTACTCAGGAGGATCCTCAGTGCTTGTTTAGGAGAGGCTCGGGACAAGTTCAGGATGCTCAGTGGTTGCTCAGGAGGGACAGGAGATGCTCAAGGGATGCTCTATAGAAGATCAGGATGCTCAAGGTTCTCAGGAGGGTCAGGATTTCCTAAGAGGATGCTCAGATGATGCTCAGAGAGGTCAGGAGATGCTCAAGGGTTATTCAGGAGGGTCAGGGATTCTTCAGGGGATGCTCAGGTGATGCTCAGGAAGGTCAGGAGATGCTCAAGATGCTCAAGAGGATGCTCAGGATGGACAGGAGATGATCAGAGATTGCTCAGGAATTGCTCAGGGGATGCTCTGGAGAAGCTCAGGATGCTCAGAGTTGTTCCGAGGATGCTCAGGAGAATCAGAGGATGCTTGGAAGGCTCAGGGGATGTTCAGGAGATGCTCAGGAGGGTCAGGGGATGCTCAGGATGCTCAGGAGAGTCAGAGGATGCTTGGAAGGCTTAGGGGATGTTCAGGAGATGCTCAGGAGGGTCAGGGGATGCTCAGGAGAGTCAGAGGATGCTCAGGGTGCTCAGGGGATGTCCAGGAGTTGCACGGGATACTCACAAGGAGGGTCAGAGGATGCTCAGGGGTTGCTCAGATAATGCCCAGGAGAGTCAGAGGATGCTCAGGTGGATTCTCAGGCAATGATCAGATGCTCAGAAGATGCTCAAGGGCTGCTTTACTCCTTGCATTTTGTCTCCCTGTGTAGCACCAGCTCCACTCAGCCGCTCGCTCGGATGTTGTACAAATTCCTGACACGACTAATTATTGTTTGGAGAACATTTTGGCAGCCTCACGGAGGGATTACACATTCCCTAACTCAGCAGCCTTGTTTCCTGCCGTAAATCCAGCAGTTTCGCTCGGCACTGCATTTGGCCATCGCTCTCCTCTAACAGGGAGCACCGAGAAAATTGGGGAATTAAACCAGATTAAAACATTCCCCATGCACGGAGCAAGAGATCACCACCATCCCTTGAGCAAGAGACAAGGAATAAAACATTCCCCATGTGTGGAGCCATCACACCATCCCTTGAGCAAAGGGACAAGGACATGCCATGTTCACCCAGATATGGCACATTGCTCTGACCTGGCGAGGCAAAGCAGCTGCTTTTTTTGGCTCCAAACCCTCCGTTTTCCTCCTTTTCACCACATATTGTAGAACTAATAGAATTTGTGAGCAGAAAATTTCACCGCCCTAGGACCAGGCACTTAAAAGCCTCCGTAATCGTCGGCATGGTGCCGGCAAATCGGCCGTGGAGCCGCGGATGTTGGCGGTAAAAGTCTTTTCACACACTTGCCTTTTTTTTGTCCGAGGAAAACAGCAACATGCCTGGGGAGAAGGAGGTGTTTCTCAGAGGGGATGAAAAGAGCATGTTTTCCAAATCATTGGCTTTATTTATTTTTTTTTTTTTTGGGGGGGTGTCTTGCCTTATTTTAAGCTTGAAGGAAGAAGACGAGCAACACTGGGAAGGGTTTGGCGATGGGTCAATCGTTTCACAGCCGTTTCCACTCAGGTTTTTTTTTTTCCCCTCCCATTTATTTTTGCCCTTCTGTATTTTCAGCTGATTATTAATTTTGGGGGGGAATCTTTGCCATGGCATGGGCACGTCGGTGCTGTCCCATGGAGCGTTATCCCGGGCGACACAGCTCTTATCTGCACGGCACAGAGAGCTGCCGGCGCTGCGTCTTTTCACAGCGGCTTTGAACGGCACCCGCTCAGATGTGAAGAGCAAAGCCAGGAGATATCCAATCCTGCTTTTTTTTTTTTTTCTTTTCCTCTGATTAAAATCCCACCCTCGTGGCGGAAGGCATTGCTTTATGAATATCTATAGCATTTTCTTCCTTATTTCCAGCATGCTTAGAGGACGCAAAGGACACGACTGGCAGTGCTTTGCCTCTGCAAGGCTGGTGGTGGGTCCCTCTCTCCCATCCCTAGAAATATCAGCTGACCCAATTTGGACTAGTTTACACCCAAATCCGCATGCAAACCCAAAGGGCTTCTTTACAGCAAGGAACAGCCACTAGGATGGAGAGTATCCCCAGCTTGGTGGGGACCAAAACCACTCCTGAATGCTGCTGAGGAAGGGTGTGGGTGATTTCCTGTTCCGTGTGTGGGTAATTAGAGGCTGGAACAGATGGTGGAGGCTTAGTTGAAAGCGTCGTGGCCATTAAAAGGAGCTGCTGAGTGATTGCTCACTTCAGCAGGGTTGTTTGTGCTGGTGGGGGGCTCCACAGTGAGGAGGAGGGATGGGAAGGCAGCCAGAGCCTTGCAGAAAGGAGATGGCAAAGCAGTGCTGGATTTCTTCCTGGATGGGGAGACATGCACACCAAGTAGGATCTTTAAACTGGGAGCAGCTTGCTGGGTGTTCCGTGAAGGAATTACTCCCATCCTTGCTGCTCCGCTGATGGTTGGTGAGGTGGGACGATGATGCCAGCAAGGAGGGATGATACTGTCAGCTGGTAAGGTGGGAATCTGCTGGTCACTGAGGTGGGATGCTGTTCACCAGTAAGGCAGGAAGATGTTGCTGGATGGTGAGGTGTGATACTGTTTGCTGGTAAGGTAGGATGGTGCAGCTGGACCGTGAGGTGGGATGCAAGGTGGGATGCAGCCAGACAATGAGGTGGGACAATGCTGCCCACTGGCAATGCAGGATGCTGCCAGTCAGTGAGACAGGATGGTGCTGCCAGAAGGTGAGGTGAGATGTTGCCAACCAGCAAGGCAGGATGCTGCCAGCTGGTGAGGTGGGATGATGCTGCTGACCAGCAAGGTGGAATGCAGCTGGACAGTGAGGTGAGATGCAGCTGGACAGTGAGGTGGGATGCTGCCGACTAGCAAGGTGGGATGCTGCCAGACAGAGAGGTGGAATGATGCTGCCCACTGGCAAGGCAGGAGGCTGCCAGCCAGTGAGACAGGATGGTGCTGCCAGACGGTGAGGTGGGATGCTGCTGACCAGCAAGGCAGGATACTGCCAGCTGGTGAGGTGGGATGCTGATGACCAGCAAAGTGGGATACTGCTGGCCAGTGAGGTGGAATGATACTGCCCACCATCAAGGCAGGATGCTGCCAGTCAGCAAAGTGGCTCCTTTCAGCATTTCCACCTCCAGCTGTGCTGATCCTTTCACGCATCTCTTCCTCTCCTGTTTTTCCAAGTCTATATAAAGTCTCTAGATCATAGATCGATCGATGCCTGCTCTGAGTTCGCACAGAGTTTGGGCTTTGGATGCTTTTATCCCTCACACTTTGCACACTTTGGTTTGTGAGGTCCAGTGCTGAGCCTGTACCATCGATGTCTGATGTCCGTGGTCACGGGTTTGTGCTCCCGGCGATGCCTTTACCTCCCGTCCACGTCTCCTTTCAATAATGCAATTACTTCCCCTCCGAGGAGCTGTCAGTGCTGGTAAACTCCAGCTGCTAAGGCACATTACCCAGCTCCCTCCTGCAGCCTTTGCTGTTATTAATAGTTTATTGATCCCTGGCGCTGGTGAGGAGCAACCCCATCCGCCTCCGCGGTATCCGGGTGCTGACTGCTGCATCCCCCAGGAAAATGGGGTCAGGATGGAGTGGTGATTCCTGTCTCTCCTCCTCAGCCTCCCTGAGGTTCGCATTTCGGACAATGGTCCCTACGAGTGTCATGTGGGGATTTATGACCGAGCCACGAGGGAGAAGGTGGTCCTGGCCTCTGGAAATGTGTTCCTCAATGTGATGGGTGAGTGCAGCCCTGGCTGGGTGGGATTGGAGAGGTCTCAGAGTGGGGGACAGAAGAGATTTGGTTCACTTTTCCATCCTTAGGAATGAGGATGGGGACAGGAATGGGCATAGGGATGGGGATGAAGGTGGGGACAAGACAAGGATGGGGACAAGGATAGGGATGAGAATGAGGATGGGGATGAGGAATGGGATGACAGTGCAGACAAGGATTGGAATAGGGTTGGGGATAAGGATGGGGATGGGACAGGGACAGGCATGAGGATGGGGACAGGAATGGGGATGAAAACAAGGACAAGACCAGGATGGGAACAGGGATAAGGATGAGGATGGGAACAGGGATGAGGAAAGGGTTAGAGATGATGAAGAATTGGATAAAAGTGGAGACAAGCATGGGCGTGGGAATGGGGACAGGTATTGGAATGAGGTTAGGGATGAGGATAGGGTTGGGACCAGGAGAGGGATGAGGATGGGGTTGGAGATGGAGATGGGACAAGGATGGGGACAAGATAGGGACAAGGATAGGGATGGACACAGGATGAGGATGGGTAATGGGATGAAAATGGAGATGAGGATAGACATGGGAATGGGGGCAGGTGTTGGAATGTAGTTGGGGATGAGGATGGGACAGAGAGAGGGATGGGGATGGGACAAGGATGGGGATGAGGACAGGGATGGGGATGGAGACAGGATGAAGAGGGTAATGGGATGAAGCTGGGGACAAGGATAGACATAGGAATGGCGATGGGACAAGGATGGGGATGAGAATGAGACAGGGAGGGGCATGAGGTGCACATGGGAATTGAGATGAGGATGATAAGTGGTTGTCAAGGACTTCATGCTAACCTCCAGCTCTGCTTCTGGCAGCTCCTCCAACGTCCATCTCCGTTCTTGCTGCCGATACACCAGCACCCTTCAGCCGCTACCAGGCGCAGAACTTCACCCTGGTGTGTGTGGTGTCTGGTGGGAAGCCTGCACCACTGGTGAGCCCCTGGGGGGTTAGCTTTCATATGGATCCATGAAATAATCATAAACCAATAGATACATAAAATATATAACATATATGTGCTGCTTTTATAAAGCAAATGCCTGCCTGTGCCCCAGATCCTGCAATATCTTTCCATAGGTGTTTTAGGAGGAGCTTCATCCAAAACAGCCCAAGGGGATGGGATGCTGGGGATGCTCAGGGTGGTGGCTGTCTGCACCACACTCATCATCCTTTTGGTTCCCACACAGGTGTACTTCAAGCGGGATGGAGAGCCCATCGAGGCCACCCCACTGCCGGAGCCGCCGGCCGGCGCCGGGAGCTGGGCCCCACGGAATCTCCTGCACCGCGACCTGGATGACACCAAGGTGCCAAAATCGCTGGCATCTGAAGGCGAGGTGGG